AAAAAAAAAAAAAAAAAAAAAAAAACGAATAGAAGCTTTAAAATCAGATCAAGTGGACTGTTATATAATTTTTTTTTTTTTTTTTTTTTACCAAGTTCAAAATATCGACAATTTACGCTCTTCACTGTATATTTAATTATTGTATTTATTATAATTTCATTGTTTCACTTAAAAATATTCGCGAAACTCGTATCAAAAAATTATTAAATTCACACCTTAATATGAAGGATTTATATAAGAAAAGGATTAATACAAAGCTTCACTGCGTGCAGTTATGCTGCGTTAATTATCTCGTTGTCGGTAGCATTCGTCATACGAAAAGGAAAAAGAGATAGAAATTTGATTGGTGGTCAGCTCGAAAATGCTATTAGAAAACCATGTTTTCAATGTTTCTTACATCTTGAGTTCATTGATACAGTGGCGAAGTAAACGTACGCAAAGTAAACACATCTGGATCACTCTGTCGGGGAATAAATGAGCTGTACTGTACTTCTACAAGCAGAGGAACAAACAGCGAAAAAGAAAGGAAAAGAAAATAAAAGAAAGGAAAATCACTGTGGAAACTGGAAAATTTCAAATTAGCTAATTAGACCTCATTACGATCATTGATAATAATCATAATAATCATTTCAACTAGATAATTAATTATTATTCTCAACTAGATGTTATTTTCTTGAACGTTGATTGATTCTCACATTCAGTCACGAAAAATTGTCCCGTCGAATTATATTGGATGCTTTCTTAATTAATTACGACGAAGAATTTCTCGAGTTTCAACAACAAAATAGAACTAATATACTTCTGTAGTATTTTAAGACAATGGATGACCCTTTTGCACGATTCTTGTTGATTGTAAAATAATCTTATTTTTAATTATTTAAAAATAATCTTATTTTTAATTATTTAAAAATAATCTTATTTTTAATTTAGAAATTAAAATTATTTTAATTTTTATTTTTTTATACAACGCTTCACGATTCAAAGATAATACGAACAGCGTGCAAGTTCAAAGGTTTAAAAAAAAATGGGATATTTTTCGTACGACCATGGACTAAAGTGTTAAACAGGCTTGGAATTGACCACGTTGGGTCTTACGAAATGTCCGAGTTTTAATTAAATACCCACCAACTTGTGACATTGTAATTGCTAAACTATCGTTCAATACTATTTGAAATGTTTTAAAACGTAGTCTCGTTATAAATTCCAGATTAAATAAACTCTAAGTAAATACAGAAAGTGAATTTCAAAAATTTTTATCATCTTTAAAAAATATGATATTCTACGCTCGTATGACAAACTAATCAATTCTTATTGTCGTCATGTTCAATTAATGCGACGTTAAAATCTACATGAAAGAAGGAAAAAACATACCGACGAACAGGTTTCATATTTTTTTTTTTTCGTTTCTTACAAACAATTTTAAGATTCAGCACATTGTTAATTACTTTCATGATATAATTATTTAAT